GGAAGGACCTTCTACTCTCATAGAGGAGCTGCGTGGATCAGAGCCAAGATCAACCCATCGCAGGAATTGGCACACAAGTCGGCAACCCCGGACAAGGTACGGGACCTGGATGACATGATCCCAGCATACCTGCATGACTTCAGAGAAACCTTTGAGAAAAAGGCAGCAGAGCGTTTCCCTGAATCCCGTCCTTACGACCACCCAATTGACCTCAAACCAGACTTCGTTCCAAGGAACTGCAAGGTCTACCCCCTGTCCCCAAAGGAGGAAGCGGCACTAGACGAGTTATTGAAGAAAACCTTCGAAAGGGATACATCCGCAACTCCACATCCCCCATGGCGTCCCCATTCTTCTTCGTCGGAAAGAAGGATGGCTCTCTGCGACCCTGCCAGGACTATCGTTACCTGAATGAAGGAACCGTGAAGAACGTCTACCCGATCCCCCTCGTGCAGACCCTGATCGACAAGCTGCAGGGAGCTACCATTTTCTCTAAGATGGACTTGCACTCTGGCTACAACAACATTAGGATCCGGGACGGAGACCAATGGAAGGCAGCCTTCAAATGCAAGAAGGGACCCTTCGAACCCACAGTGATGTTCTTTGGACTTTGTAACTCGCCCACCACCTTTTAGGCCATGATGGACGATCTGTTCAAGGACATGATTGACGAAGGATAGATTGTCATCTATATGGACGACATTCTGATCTTCTCCAAGGATGCAGCCACTCACGCGGAACGTACTCAGCGAGTCCTCCAACGTCTTAAGGAGAACGACCTCTTCCTGAAACCTAAGAATTGCGTCTTTGATGTCTCGGAGGTCAAATTTCTGGGCCTCATCATCTGACCCAACGTCGTCGCTATGGACCCTACTAAGCTCGAAGGCATCACTCACTGGCCAGCCCCGACCACCGTGAAGGGAGTCCGGTCCTTTTTGGGATTCGGCAACTTCTACCGTTGTTTCATATCCCACTATTCCGACCTCGCTCGCCCCCTTCATGACCTCACATGGAAAGACACACCATGGAGGTGGACAGACACCGAGCAATGTGCGTTCGATACCCTGAAGCAATGCTTCATCAGTGCACCAGTCCTACAGATGCCGGATAAAACCAAGCCATTCACCATCAAATCTGATGCCTCTAAGTTTGCCACCGGCGCAGTTCTCCGTCAAGCAGACATCAACGGAGACATGCACCCCTGCGGTTACCTCTCCCAGTCCCTGGATGCTGCCCAACGGAACTACGAGATCTATGATAGGGAACTCCTTGGAATAGTACGCGCTCTAGAGGAATGGCGACACTACCTAGAGGGCAGCTCCTACCCCGTACTAGTCCTATCCGACCACATGAACCTGACCTACTTCCGTACCACTCAGAAACTCAATCGCCGTCAGGCTAGATGGAGTCTGTTCCTGTCCCAGTTCGAACTCGAATTGCGTCACATTCCTAGCACGCGTATGGTCCAATCCGACACCTTATCCCGTCTGCAACATCTGAACCTGGAGGTCAACGACAATGACACTGTCGTCCTACTACCTGATCATCTGTTCGTGTCAAGGATAGACATCAGCCTAGCAGACCGCATTCGTGCAGTCCTCAAGACAGATCAGGTAGTACTTGACGCTCTTGCTGCAGTGAAAACGGGTGGGATCTTACCGATGAAATCCACGTTGAAGGACTGGATCTTCGATGACGGCCTAGTCTTCTATCAGAAATGCTGCTACATCCCCTTGGACGAGGAACTACGACGGGACATGGTCCAACGCTACCATGACCATAAACTCATGGGACACCCAGGACAATTTGGCACCCTTGAACTCCTACGGAGGGACTACTGGTGGCCCGGCATGGCATCGTTCGTCAAGAACTACTGCTTAGGATGCGCCATATGCCAACAGGCAAACGTTAACACTCATCCCACATCTCCTCCATTGCTACCAATTGTAGCAAAACCAAATGCCCTACCGTTCGAAATTTCCTCCGTCGACTTTATCACCGACCTGCCTCCCTCCACCGACCGTTACGAACGAGTCTTCGACTCAATCATGGTCGTGGCAGACCACGATGCTACGAAGGGGGTAATTCTTATTCCCTGCACAAAAACGGTCGATGCCCTCGAGACAGCTAGACTCTACCATGACTTCGTAACTAAGCGCTTTGGAGTACCATCACGGATCATCTCCGATCGTGGCCCTCAATTCTCCTCCAAGGTCTTTCAGGAAATCACACGCCTATTGGGCACTCAGTCGTCTATGAGCACCGCCTACCACCCTCAGACCGACGGAGGCACGGAACGCATGAACCAAGTAGTTGAAGCCTACCTCCGGAAGTACTGCACAGACGAACCGGACAAGTGGACTGAACACCTGACCGACCTAGAGTTCGCACATAATCAGCGTGCTGCGCAAGGACGTAATGCCTCGCCCTTCTTTCTCATGATGGGCTACAATCCCCGTGCCGTACCCACGGTAACCCTGCCAACGAACGTACCCTCCGTGGAGGAATGGCTCTCCAATCTTCAGAAGGCTCGGGCAGAAGCTCAAGCCGCCCACGAACTCGCACGCCAGCGTATGGCCGAGCGTGTCACCAAAGCCTTCACCCCGTTCAAGAAAGGTGACCTGGTATGGCTCGATGCCAAGAACATCAAGTTCTTCCAAGTCCCTAAGAAGTTTGCGCTGAAGCGTCATGGACCTCTCGAAATCATTGAAGTACTCGGACCACTGACCTACCGGCTGAAACTCCCGGCACAATGGAAGATACACGATGTATTCCACGCCACCCTCTTATCACCATACCACGAGACCAAGGAACACGGCCCCAACTTCTCTTATCCCCCACCTGATGAAGTCGAGCACGAGGAACAGTGGGAAGTAGAGGCCATCGTGGGACGAAAGAAGCACGGAAGGACCTACCGTTACCAAGTCAAATGGAAGGGATATCCACCGTCGGAGAACTCGTGGGAACCCGAGTCCAACCTGAAGAACGCCGCAGAACTCCTTGACACCTATAAGAAGGAACACCCCCTACCTCAGAAAGGGGGTAAGAAACGCAAACGCTAACCTTCCCAACCTCCTCTCGCTACCCTCACTATGTCCTCCTACTCTCGTTCTACCGCAGCCGTTCGGGCGACGCCCCATGCCCTGCACCGACTCCTTGTTGAAGTCGCCAACCTTCCCAATGACACATACGACCGCTACCTTGCTCAAGTCGCAAGCAACCCCCCTCTGTATAACGCCCTCATCGCTATCCGAGGGGCCAATGGTGCCCTCTCCGAGGTGAAGAAGTCACTCCTTCTCGTCGAGAAGATGGAGGAGCAACTCACCAAAGCACGCCGCCAGCTCACACTATCGCTCGACTCAACAGTGGACATCCTCGCCCGTTCTCCATTGGGGACTCAGATCCCCGGTCATTGGTACGAACTCCTACCCTCGTTACCTCCTCCCGGCATTCGCTCTCCGGCCCCTGTCCCCGTCCCTAGTTCCGAACAAGATCACAGTAGCGATGGTGATGACGACACCGACGATGACACTCCCCCTGCCTTGCACCACCTCTCACCTCCGTCCTACCAACGCGGACGTCTTTCCCAGTCCTCTAGTCAATCCTCCGTCCCTCCCAGGCCCAGAAACCATGAGCGTTCTGCCTCTCCCCCTCCTCGCCGTCCGTCTTCAGCACGTTCCCTCGAAGACCACCTCACGTCCCCCTTGTCCTCGGCCTTAGGGCACCCCCTCTCCCTTGCCCCGGATGACGACATCTTCGAGAAGGGCTTCCGAGGTTCGCGGGAGGCCTACCTTCACGAGCAGGAGTCGAAGTACGGTCGTGATGAAGACGGCGAGGTACACGAGATCGACGACTATCTTGGCCCGCTCAGCGACGAGAACGACGTCTAGTCCACGTATGCGCATTCCGTCCCTCACGAGCTTCAGGCATAGCTCGGCTATAGTGGGGGGGTAGTGTTACAAACGCCCTGTGGGGGCGTCTCTTCTTTCCTTTCTCCTCGTATCCTCTCTACCATGCATTCCCTCTTCTTACGGCACAACCCGGACACTCGTACCTACCATGGTTCCAACACCATGCTTCATATCCCCATTGTTCTCATCGCTATTGTTCTTTTCGCTATTGTACTATGTGGTCACAACACCACGTGACTCCTTTGTCCCCATTCGCTCTTGTTCTCCATCGTTATTGTCCTGTGACTATTGTTCTCCGATTAGTCAGCGACCGTGTACTTTAGTATATAAGGACAGGTCTTGCACTGGGCACCCCAGTTTGACCTCTTGTACCAATCAAGCGTTCTCACTCCCTAGACCCCTAGTGACCTCGAACCCCCAGACCCCCAGTGAACCAGTGTGCTAAGCTTGTCATCAGTCTGCGTCCTCATTGTGCATAACCTGCACACGACCCCTTGAGTGCTGACACGCTTCGCTGTAACAGAGGAGAGCACTACTGAACAGCAGTCGGGGCAACAATTGCAACCACCACCACCTGAACCCGCGAACCAACAATATGCGCAACCGTCGGTTGCAGAGGTCGTGGACGAGTCACCGTCCCGACTAAATACAGCCTACGAAACGGCGACCGAGCAACTGCAGGAGTTGCCGGACA